AGCTGTGGTTGAGGTGTGAGCTTCTTTGTATTTTTATATGCATTAAGAGTAAACCTACGTCTGGCTTTCATCATTGGCCTGTTGTTGTACAGTGCAGTTTGTCAGCGCGCTAAATGTTAGCCAGAAGACATTCCGCTTAAAAGCAGAATCGGTTTCATTCCAAGTTGGGCCTCAGTCTGCCTTCTTGCCACTTGTGGTGTTGGTCAAACTGTTGGTGGCAGAACGGTTTACCTTAAGGCATCAGAAGCCATTTCTTGTCCTGTGGGATCCTGACACTTGAACCACACGTTGTGTGTCTCTTACAGTGTTCCATCTATATTGCGTAGCAATAGATTTCGCAGAGATGCAAGAGCCTTAGAGGAGGATGAAGAAATGTGGTTCAATGAAGATGAAGAGGAGGAAGGTGAAGCTGTTGTACCTCCAGTTGAGAAGTCTAAACCAGAGGATGATTTTCCAGACAGCTACGAAAAGTTTATGGAAACTAAAAAAGGTATTTCATCTCATTGCCACCATATTTACTCTGTGCAAGACATGCGGAGTGTTGTGTGCTCACACCTGGGGTTTGAGTCACAAGCAGGAGGAAAGGTGTTCCACAGTGAGGGATGAACCGCCAGTGTGTCTTTGCGAGGCAGGTGAGGATTAAAACAAGCACGATTGCTCCTCACGTGCACCTGCTTTAACTGGCATCCAAAACCAAATGTCTGTGTGTGTGCTGGGTGAGCACCCCTGTGCCAAAGCGGTGCCGTTCTCACTTGTAGTGCTGGCACGCTTTGTTTGCATGAGGTCAGCGAGCAAGCTGCTTGTTTAAACCAGAATTTTAGGAAGAGGCTGCTTCTGCCCCATGATGCAGTGATGTGGATTGTGCTGCGTGGGGCATGGCTGATACTTACGCGTGAAAATTCTGTCCCTCAGCTAAGGAAAGTGAAGATAAAGAGAATCTTCCCAAAAGGACTTCAGCTGGGGGATTCAAGTTCACTTTTTCCCACTCAGCCAGCGCAGCCAATGGTGCAAACGGTGCAAACAGCAAATCTGTGGCAGCTCAGACATCACCAGCAAGCTCCAATGGCTCCTCTTCCAAGAACGCCACCCTGACCACAGCAGTGACAGCCACAAAGGTGGGAGATGTGTGTGAGAGCAGCTGCCCTCACGCAGGGCAGCGGAGCTGCAGGTCGGCGCTGGTCTCTGGGTTGGTGCCTTACTGCAGTGTGCATTTGTCTGCTGCCTGCTGCTTTGGGGAAGGTTGGAAGTAGTGAGTGGGGATGGGAACCTGCTGCTCATGCACCGGGCTGTCATCTCATCTTTTGCATAACTCCGCTGCTCCCAGCCCTCAGCTTTTCCGAGTCCATTCCTGCTTTGTGTGGGTGACTTACTTTTTCCCCCTCTATTACGTCAGTGGACTGCACTGTCAAGAGCCTCAGTGCTTTTAAGCAGATGAAATTCGGAAGTTAGCAGATGCACCTGGTATGTCTTGTCCGTGCTTTGTTTGCATTGTCAGCCTGAAAGCTCAGGAGAGGTTGGAGATGAGTGTGCTAAAATGTTTATTGCACACTCCTGAGCCTTACCAGGAAGATGTGCGTGTACACATTAGGTTTTGCAGCAGCAGTTTGAGCTTACAGAGATCTGAAATAATTCCGAGGCTGGATGCAGAGGAGCAGGGATGCTTCAGTATTTTCTTTTGCCCTTGAGATTGAAAGATGCTCTGAAGACAAATGGGTCTGTGAATGGAAAAGGCATCACCAAGGAGATAGGCAATCCCCAGCTTGCAAATAGCACTCGGTGTTTGTAACTCCTTAGAGGAGAATTACTGAACTTCACAGACAGTTGTAAAGCACTGGTAGATCTGAGCGCCATCCTAAGAAAAGCCTGGCGTTCTGCAGGCTCGTGTGTCCTGGATGAGCTTTGGGGGAGGCATGCTCTAAAAATGTCACTCCGCTGGGTGCTTTTTCAATGTGAGATTTGTTCTTTTTCTTTGGCTTGGCAGGGAAGTCTAGTTGGCCTGGTGGATTATCCTGACGATGAAGACGACGACGAAGAGGAAGAGACATCTCCAAGGAAAAGATCTCGTCTGGGTTCATAAAGGAAACCAAAACTTTGGAATAAAAACTTTTTATTACGGGGTTTCAAATGCTGCAACTGTTTTAAGAGCTAAAAAGAATCTGATTGAGAAAGCTTTCTCCCACGAGTACATGAGATAACGCAAGGAGTAGCAAAAGAAACTCGGTCTGTGAGCTAGAAAGGGTTAGTTCTGTAAACACAAGGCTTCCAAGGAACTGAATGTCTTTCTAGTAAGTAAGGAGTCAGTCTGCCATTCAGGCTGTCAAGAAAAAAAAAGAAAAGAAAAAAAAAGAAAAAGTGGGTTGGTATTCACAGAACCTGGATGATGGCTTCTCAGCAAGGAAAGTCTCAGGTGTTGGGAGGGCGTGGGGGGGAAGGGAACGATTTCTAAAAAAAAAAAACTATTGCAGGGTTTCCCCAGTGTTTAACAGAACTCGGAAAAACAAATCAAGCTTAAATTTTGAACCCGGTAATCTTAATTTTGTAATGGTGCTGTCACATTGTGTTCTTTTAGCAATGCCTCTTTAAGAAAAAAACTGAAAAAATTAAAAAAAAAAATAATAAGGGAAAACTAACTGTATTTGCATAAGAACAATCTAGATTTCTGGGACCATTTATTACAAATGAAACTTCTCGCGGTCGGAGGGAGGGACACTGCATTTTTAGTGCATGCTGAGTTGGTTTGGTTTTGGTTTTTTTAAACGATTGAAAATCAGTTTTAATTTCTATTTTCCAAGAGGATAAAACGGAAGCTGGATGCAGAATAGATGGTTCTGCTTGGTTGGTTGTTGTTTTTCTTTTTGTTCCCCCCAGCCCCCCATTAGATATCCCGTAATAACTAAGCCAAGGACTGACTGCTTCCCAAACATCTGCAGGGACTGCTGTGCTCACAGCACGCGCACAGCTGCGGGCTTCACGCTGTGGAAGACGCGGAATCGGAATCATTTTGTGCTTGGTAGAAACGAGCTGCAGCTCCTCAGAGCAGATCTCCCTGTTTGCAACTTGAAATTGCGTAGCTGAGGTGGTATTAAGAAACACTAACGGGTTTTTCTTAGCGACGGGTTTAGTGGCGTTTAACAGCAAAGTCTGTGTGGACCAAGGTGGAATTCTAGGAGCAGAAGTTCTTTGGGGCGGAATCAGCAGGCAGCACCTCGGTCTGGGTGCGAGACGAAAGCTGCTTTTCAAAGATAGAAAATAAAAGTACATTCCACGTAGGTAAATGAAGCGCAGCCAAGCTAGGTGAGCTGAGAGAGGCCAGGTCCAGGGTTTTATTTCAAGAACAGGAAGCGAACTGTAAATATTTTAATGTTAGTTTGCCCATATGTGTTCTGAGATCGCGAAGAAGGGAGAGGAAACTTTCCAGCACGTGATGTCAGAAGTGTTAAAAAAAAGAATGAGCTACGAAACCAGCTGCAGTCCACCACGTAGATCACTCTTGTAATGTGTTATGGGTCCATTTCTCCTGGAATAGTCTGAACTGAAGCAGTTTCTCTGTTTTGGAGATTTTGTAGTTAATTTTAATTTTAGCTATCGTTTGGAAAAAGATGGGCTGTCTGTGTAGATATGAAGTATAGTTTTTCCATAAAACAGAAGTTTATTTTGTATTAAAAATACCACTGTACTTGTTTTACACCATTTGTATACACGTGGTGATATTAATGCTGAACTGTACAATTCAGGAATTAAAATGTGACCCTGTAATTCCATAATTACTGCTTTTGTTTGGTTTGTTGTACACGGTAAGTTCACTCAGGATTTTAAGCGCGGTCATCTTCCAACACTCGTTCAGAACAGCTGTTGTGCCGTTGTGTTAGTGACTGCTACATGGGGACACGAGCTCTTCCCACCTCTGAGCCAGGTGCAGCTGGATGGCACTCGTGTGGACCTGGGGATGGCGGTGCTGAGCCCTCAGCTCTGGACGTGGAGGATCTGAATTTCCCTCACTGCTCCAAGCAGAGCTGCCTGCAGTACTGCTGCTGCGTGCTTGCTCTCCCGCTGACCGCCGTCTTTTTCTTCTCGAGTCTTTTCTCCATCAGTAAAGATGATAAACCACCTCCAGTGCTACTCAAGCAGCAGTTGCACCGTGTGCCTTTACTAACCTAAGGCTGAAAAACTGTTAGCTGGCCCGTGGACCCAGGCTGTCCTGATGCTCTTTGAACAGCTACCCAAGGCAGCTCCTCAGGCTCTGACTGAAGCGTTTCAGTGCTCGCTCAGTGCTCCTCACCACGTCCATCAGCTCTCTCCTCAAGTGCTGTCAGGAGCTTAAAAAATGCTTCAGACCAACACGAGTCTTTCTCCAACAGCAAAAACAAGAACATCACCAACTTTTACAGCTACTAAAAAAATGTACAAAGGGGCATTAAGCTGTGCTGCTCGCATTCCTCTCCAGGTTCCTGCAGAAAGCGGCAGGCAGCACACGGAGCAGCTCACGGCTGGGGCTGTCACCCCGCATCTCGGCCCCCAGGGGTCGCCCACAGCTGCTTCCCCTGCACGGATCCTGCCGGGGCCCTTCCACTACCACTCCTTTTGGAAAAGTAAAGAACATCTGCCAACATGTATCAGTTATAAATGCTATTTTAATAAAAAGCTACACGGAACTTGGAAGTGGTTGGGCTGTTTCTTTTAACGCCAGTTAGAGTTACAGTCAACAGTGTGCTAAGGACACCCTCTCCCCTGCTTCATTTTAAGTCTGCCAAAGGCAAACCAGTAAATGATTTGTTTAAAGACTTGACTTTGGAACCAAATTGCTCTGGTGATGTTCCTAGTTCTTACTTTTGCTTTGTTCTTTAAATTACTCATAGCAAACTTGGATCTAAGGTATGGGTGAGCTGCCTGGAAGGTGTGTACAGCAGCGTCACCTCCAGCTCTCCTCACTTCATGCTGCATGAGCTGCTCCTTCAACTACAAGATGGTCACATTAGCACTTCCATGTGAACTCAGACTCATTACAGCCCGAAATAGTAGTTTATTTCTGATATTCTAATGAACCAAGTTCTATAATCTTTAGAAAAAGGTAAGGTTAATCAAATCTGTTTGTTCACATTTTTTAGCTATTATTTTAACAGATGAATATTTGTTGTACATTTGAGTGGGTGAGGCTGTGAAACTGCCCCAGTGCTGAGCACATTCCAGTGAAAATCCGTGAGCTTCCAGCATTCTGGAAAATCCGTTTCCAATGTATTTCAGCACAACTTCAAACATTTTATACAAAGTACAGAATGAGTTGTCCGAAAGCTCTATAAAAACAAGTGTGAGATACTTGAAAACAAACCCGTTCCATTATTGGTTATAATTTATTCTAAAAGATGCCTATGTTCTTGAGGTCTGCAATGAGCTTCTCACAATTACCGCTTATTAATAACTTCTTCTTTTAGTTTTTCTGCGAGCACTTTCCTCTTCTGCAGTAGTTTTTGCTTCTCTTCTGAAACTTCCTACAAACAAAATGGGGGGGAAAAAAAAAACACTGCAATAAATAAACTGCATGACTTCCTAATGCGTACTGCAGCTTCTAATGCTAACTGCTACCCAGGCAGGTGAGCCATGGCAGGCAGTGCTGGCAGAGACTTTTCTTCCTAACAAGGAGCAGCCAAAGAGCATCACTTTCAAACCTGATGCTGCACGGCCACCCCTTCAAACTCGCTTGCAACCCCAAATGATGCAAAAAGTTTCTTCATTTCTTGGGAAGTGGGTCAAGCAGTGTCTTCACTTTACCGTGCTGCTCAGGAGTTCACCCATCCACCCAAGGGCACATCCTGAGCACATTAAAATGCTCAGCAATTACAAAGCACTCGTGTGACAACAAAGCTTCTTATCTTAAGTGGGTTCTCTTTGCTAAGGAGCAGCGATTTGCTTTTTAATAGCGTTCTTTTCTAAGGTTTTCTACTATCCCCCTTATCCACATTGAGAGTTTAAGCATTTCTTTTCACATAGATGTTTATTAGACCTGTTATTTGTAACAAACACATCATATTACCATAATAATGATTAGCAGACGGCTCTTTTCTCCTGAAGTCTGACCTACACTCACAGTTTTGTCCTGCCATAGGATGCCAGTCTTTATGGCTGTGCCTGCTTTCCTTGGTGCAGCTGACTGTTGTTCCCAGATGTGATTTTCCATCACAAGGATTTCTGTGACTGCAGCACCTCCTGCATGCTAAGGAGCGTATCGGTTAACTCACTGACTGACATGTCAGTCCTTGAGTTCATCTCCCTGCCCTGCCCAGAATACTGTGTGTTTTATACATGGCATTTGCCTAACAGATTGAAAAGTAGCAGAAGCCTTTTTTTTCTTTTTTTTTTTTTTTCCTACTGTGCCTTAAGGAAGCAGGATTTGATACAAGAGTGGTTCTGTTTCACAGACTTTCCTTGCACTGAGCACTTGCTGTTACCATCACAGGCTTCACCTCCTTGCACTACACATGCAAGGACAAAGCCCTCTGTAAGAGAGATCTGCTGACTGTCCAAGTTGTAAAGTCAGACTGTGACAAATGCTTCAGTCATTATTGCAGATGGAACCAAGATGGTGACAGGATGACCAGCTGAAACAGCAGCAACACGCCGCAAGCCAACCACTGCTGCTGCATTGCAGTGTCTACCAACTAGAATAATGGGATGAGGATCTCTTGTTACTACAGTCACAATTCAATCTTCTTTCTGAGGTGCAGAACTATCCCACAGAGCTCTCCCTGCCCTTGATACATGGCTGAACAGAGAACACGTTTGTAGCTACTGACCAACATGGGTAGGAGACCGTTCACGACTGTATGTGGGACAAAGACACCATGAAGAATGGAATATCTCTTGTATCTCTACAAATTTACCATTCCCTTTCTTATAATTCTAATTCTTCTGCAAGTATTTTCTTGTATTGGAGGCAACCAGATAGATGATAGCAGCATCTATTCCTCAGAGTGCCTTGTCTTTCTAAATTGCTTTATCTCATCACTTCTACTCCAGTGGCTGATTTGTTAACCAGGGATTTATTTATTTGAAAAAGGAGCAAAACCCTCTGAGATCAAGAGAACTAAGCAAGCTTTTCTATGTAAAATTGGACTTTGCAAAATATTTTTTCCCTGTCTTAGCTGGAAAAAAAAAAAAAACAAAAACAGGGATTTAAGGAAGCCCAAGAGTTGGTCAAAGGATTAAAAGAAAGCCAGTTCGTAAACTTAATCAAGAGGATTTGTCAATACAGAGGTGAAATGCTAACTTAATCATTAACACTTTTAGCCTGTACTCTTCTGCAAAACCAGTGACCTGACAATAGTTCCACTACTCCCACCACTTGTCCTTTAATACTGCTACCACACTCAGCCATACCTTCACTGAAACTGCCTGCCTGTTATAAAGCCATCAGGATGATTTTAAACCCTTCAGGATGATTTCAAACCCTCTACCTCTTTAGGAGATGGTTCCTCCTCCTTCTGGTCCGTGTTTGTGGGTGGTATTATATTATTTCTTGACTCTTTCTTTGCAGCTACCAGCATATCTCGTTTTTTCTTAAGATACTCCTCCCGTTGTCTCAGCTGCTGCTCGTCAAGTTCTGGTGCATTCTGGATGTTTTTGAAGTACATTTGGAAATAATACACATAACAAAATTAAGTTATGTATTCATGAAATAAAAGCCTTTACATCAACTTTGCCTCTCAACTTAATTGCTTGTTTTCAGAAGCCAAGCGAGAACTTCAAGCCACAGCTGTCTTACTAAGAACTTATCACAGGGTTAAAGGCTGAATGCTAAGTTCTAGAATTCTACTCTTAAAAACGGAGTGGTGATCTGAACTCCATGCAAATCAAAGTGCTAAATACCACAAGCAGCATGCTGGTTAAAAGAAATGCATCACGATAATAAAAACCGTGATTATAAACGTAACACTATTTTCTGTCATTCCAGTTTCTGTTTCGGGGGCAGAAGGCATTGCTGGTTGTTTTAAACTTACGTGTCCTTCTGGCGCAGCTTTCTGTGCTGCACTTTCTGCACGTTTTGCAGACGCTCTCTTCTTCGTGTCCTCCTTCCCTTTGGTGGGCTGAGGTGAGCACTCTGGGCCTTTCTGTGATGGGCGGACTGGCTTTAAGTCTGCCCTTGCAGATTGCCGAGCTTCCTCTAAACAGCAACGTCACGTAAAAAAAAGCAAAACAGTAACACATCATATAAAAAATAAATGGAGGGTTTCCTCTAACATCCAGATCTCTCCTCTGAAGAAGTGGAAGATTTAATAAAAAGGGGAGAAATGAGATTTTATATTCTTTTCATAAAACTTACCATCAAAATCCACTGGTAAGTACCATATTTACACGACTAAGTAACGCTTTACATTAAAGCACCGCTGCTGCTATGATGAATTACTGTGCAATGCTTGTGTATGGGAACTGCTGAGTCCCAGCCTGACCCACTTTCCACCTGGGGAAAGGACGGTCAGCCCTGGGAGCACAGGTGAAGGCAATTCAGCTGTGTGACCAGAAGGGTGGAGCCTGGCTGCACCTCTCTTAGACCCCACTGAAGGGCTGACCCCTCCCCCGGGAGAAGGATTTCTCTCTCTAAGTCCCTTTCTGGTGAAGCTTTCCCCTGTGGACCTGGAGCCTTCAGATATGGGTAAGCAATTTTTTTTCCCTTCTCTTACAGCACCTTTCTATCATGCCAATTCTCCCATCCTATTGTTCTGCCCTATTGCTACAGCTTGGAATGTAATTTCATATGCAATATTCCAGTGGGTGGTTTACATTAAGATTATGCCCTCATTCTCTGTGTTAATTAGGAGTTAGTAATCAGCAGCCCACACAGCATGCTTCAGCCAACTCCAAATACAAGGGTGCTGCTTCAGCTTTCAGCTTCGAAGAACAGAATCAGACAACAGTATTTAAGTGAACTTGTAGGGAAGAGGGAAGGAAGCAGAAACTCAAGGTGCAAAGCGTTATGCAGGCCCCAGAACTGGAAGGTCACCTATTCAGACCCACAGCTCAAGAGCTCATTTTCAGAACTGGTCTCCTCTCTAGGAGAGGATGCACCAGAAGTTGGCTTTGTGCCTGACATCAGCAGAGCTCAGAGGCTCAGGTGGGCTGGCTGGGGGCTACCAGGGGAGCTCTGGGCAGGGAAGTTCAAACAAGGTTCAGGTGACCTCAGTGCCTTCCTTCCTCAATCAGCTCCCTCACCTTGCCCAAAGCAGCTACTCTGCCACCCTGCTTAACTCTGGCTGCTTTTTCTTGGACGAGTGCTGCCTGTGTTGACAAACAAACCCTCAGCTGATTCCAGCTGTGCTTTTCATATCTGCAGATACAAAGGATAATTTTGCCTTGCAATCCCACAGAACTCCACTGTGTGTTGCTGAGGCTAGAGTCAAAGTTTTCCAGTCACCAAGCTGCAGAGCAGCCTATGTCTCTAGAACTTCACCAAGACTTCTCCCAAAGTGACCTACAACTATTTCTGAGTACAGTAAGCTGCTGCCCCTGCTATATTTTTATTAAAAATGGAGAGTCTTAGAACTGTTTAAATAAACCTGAAAATACTGGTATCAATGCAAAAACACTGAGTACAATAAGAATTTTAGTGCATGCAGTCTTTTTGAGTGTATCTGTGATCCCTGAGTTAAGATGTGCAACTGAATGTAGCGAATTATAATTCTGCAGTGATGCACTGTGGGTTTTTCTCAGTAATATTTAGAAACAAGTGGTGTTAGTATTAAAGTATGAGCAGTTTCCTTGGCCCCTAGCAAAGCACAGTAAGAGATGGCATAGCCTAGCTTCACTGACACTGAGTGCAGAGCAAGCTGTTGTTCATTCAGTTGTTCGTGGGTTTTTTGTTGCAGGAGGCTGCTGTTGTTTTAAGTTAAAGCATGGAATAGTTCAGTTCAATGCTGCTGCTTTCTTCAGTACAGAAAATGACAACTGAAAAAAGCAATGGGAAAAGCAAAGGAGAGAGAATGCTCAAAGCGCAGAAAACAAAGAAATGTAGAATAAAGATGAAGAATTTGTGTTTCAGTGAAATATGTCCATCTCTTTTGATAAATTGCTTAGAGGTACTACGAGAGCTAAAAGTGCTAGGAAAAAATCTTCACACCAGGGCTGCCTTCTTTAAAAAGCAGAGGAAAAAAAGACCTAAAGAACACACAGTGCATGCCGAACACCAGAACCAACACTATGAACAAGGGAAACCACTTACCAGGAAGTAGTCCTTTGAAATGTGCTGTGTGTGTGCATTTACACTGTTGCTGTCCATATTGCAAACACTCGAGCTGGAGATGTTTGTGGCCTAGCAGTACCTGTAGGATGTGATCATAGGACCCTCAGTTTCACTTAACCCACGAACCTGAAAAGACACTAAGGAGACAAGGGAAGGAGGATCGATGGCAGATGTACAAGGAGACAATGTCTCAAAGCACTGTAATGGCACTGGCATATAACCTGTTTTTTCCTCTGAGAATTTGTCTGTATGTACACTCATACTGTGGGTGACTAAGCTAAGCAACGCTTTTTGATGTGGGCAAATACTTCAGTCTTCTCAAAAGCAACCCAGGGCCACTCTAGCAGGTGCTGCATCCTTATCTGTGCTGGGTGCAAACACAACTGGCAGGTATCGAGGAAGGGGGGTGTTTCTGAGGAATGCTAGAAAGGTCACCTGCACTCCAAGGTGCTGTGTGTGACTGTTACTATGAAACTCTCCTTCCTATCTCCTAGCGGTGCAAGAAGTTGGGTGGTCAGTGCACAGGATGAATGGTTTTGCAATCTCATTTGTGAACCACTAACAGGGTTCACCAAAGTGAAACTAAGAAAACTGAAGCAATTGCCATTAGCTTCAAATTCATTATATAGTAGAAAACTTTTAGAGGTCCACCAAATGAAGTTTGGGATCTTAAAGTGAAACTGCAAAAGATGATGAAAAGGCATGTGGCTGAAAGAAAAGAAACACGTGCCTGACAAAAGGTGGGGGTGCTGTATTTCCCTGACTGAGGACTGTTTTGTGTAAGGGGTCACATTGCCAAGTTGATACTCCCTTGGTATGGGATACTTCCTCTTCTCAGGTAAGAAAGGCAAGCTACTCTGTGCTGTGCTAAGGTGACTCTTCAAGTGAGAATACAGCCAGGATCTGAGAACAGGTGTGGTGGGCAGCAAGGGTCTGGGACCAAACCACACAGAGAAGAAAGACAGAGGCACAGAGTGCTGTGCTCCTTCCCAGCGTTGCATGTGGTACTATGCAGAAGAGACTCAAGCTGCGGTTATGACCCCATTATCCAAGATGGAGCTTTAGATGGGAGCCCATGCTCTGGAGTGAGGTATTAAGAGACTAAAAAGCAGTCTCTGTATGAGAGTAGTCTGGAAGAAGATTCACAGTATGTGCACTCCTTGATTTTATTTTAGCCCTCACTACCAACTGAAACCACTTTTCTAAGGTTATACTGGAGGATAAGCTGAGACAAGCTTTTTAGTAGCCTTTTGGAACAGGTATGTGTTGCATGATGCCAGCCCTACAAAGCAAGAAGATTCTCAAAGAGCAGTCTGTCGACTTCTCTGGTGTTTAAGGAGCATAGAAATGCTCAGCTTCAGCTGAACAGGCACAAGAACAGCAAACAAGTTCTGATCCCAGGCTCCAAGATCCCCTGCCTCTCATACAGATTAAGTTCTGCAGATGAGTAATCTAATGGTGCTGTTGAAAGGTGGCATAACTATGCAAAAATAAGAGGAATCAAATCAGGCTAAGAGAAGAATACAAGTACACCTGCAAGCCTCCTGCATTCTTCCAAGAGTGGAAAGCAGAGAATCAGAGTTTAAACAACCGTAACAAAACTTTCCAAGAAGGCAGAAAAGATGAGGGAAAAAGATATTTTATAAGGTGACACACTTTTCTTTTGTATTTCCTAACATGAAGGACACTAAGTCAGTTCTAAAGAACTGAGGGTCCTACAACCGCTTCATGTATTAATGGCCACAAAACAGGAAGTGCCCAAGGATGCCCCACAGGTACTAAAAAGGCTAAGAGTATCCAGCTCAAGTGTTTGTGATATGAGAGCTTAGTGTGAATGCATACAAAGATGAATAATGGACCCATGGAAAAATAACTAAGAACAGTGCAGACGTGCTGAAGTTGGAACTGTATTATTAAAAGTGATCTCAGAATATCAAGCTACAAATTTTTCACAAACTCTCCTTAAGAATAAATTCCACTGAGATACAATGCTTGTTCTTGAGGATCACCTGTGTGTGTGTGTGTGTGTGTGTGTGTGTGTGTGTGTGTGTTTTGCACATCTAGTATTGAGCTTTCTCATAAAATTACCTAATGATAACTTTGGAGTATCTCCAGAACCATCAGCTCCCTCAGTAGACTCCTTAACTTTTACAGTTTCTCTTGAATCTCCTGGAGAATTGGTCACAGCTGGTGATTTGCATTTAGCACGTGCCTTAAATTAAAACAGCAAACAAAACCAAGCATTACAATTCCCACCACTGTACCCCAGGCATTAAACTTCCAATACAAAGGAAACTCTTGAAAACTCCTAATTAAAATGGTGTTGTTTACACTATCTATATTGCATTGTCAAAGTGAACAAAGCAAACTGCTTATTTTGTTTTACTGGTAGGAATGTTTGTACTGGCTTATAGTTATGAGCTTCTCTGTTTATTTTAGTTCAAAACTTACTCTCTTACCAACAGTCAAATTGAAAACATTAGATAAATTGACATTTTTGTTTCCCAGCTACAAATGGGTGACTTAGAGGTTTTTTATACTGTGCTTTGCTTGTGACTTTCCAACAGACCTCCACCCACCATAAAAACATGTTGTATAGTAAGAGGACTTAGGAGCATGTGCTGAAGTTAGAAATAAACAAATAATCACCTGAATGGAAGTAACAGGTTGGATGATTTCTGATGCTGCTTTACCTCTATGCTTATCTGAGAAATCTTGACAATGCAATCCATCCCTGAAAAAGCTGGAAATTGCCCAGAAAATGTTTCTACTATTCATCAGCCCTCTGATTCATGCTTTTCTGTTGAGTTAAATTGAGTGAATTTCTATTAATTCTGTAGCCAGACTTCCTGCCAATGCCTTCCAAATAAGTTCTGTATAATTAAACTCTTATGGTCTGGTCCTGTGACTGAAAGGAATTGGCAGAAGGCATCCCAATGGGATCAGTCATGCTAAGGTAAGCTGAAATAGTATTTTCCACGTGCTCTTTCCTACAGTTTCCTATGGATAAGAAGGTTTAAGAATTCCATCTTAGAGCAAATAGAGCTGAAGTACCAAGTTTTATCTTTATGAAATATGCAGAAGAGTCTTCCAATAAGTAAGTAGTTTGGCTGACAGAATTACATGTCTTCAAAAAAAAAAAACACTAAATGGAATTAGATATTGTAAACTCTCAAGTGCAGTTCATGAGGTACAGCTCCATGCATGCATTTCTATTCCAAGAAGAAACAGTTCAGTGGCTAGGCTGAAAAATGAGACACTGCTGTAATCTGGCACGTTTATCAAGAATACTGATATTCTTGGCTGGTCTGTAAGGATTTGGATAAGCCTGTACCTTAGAATATCATTTGTTAAAATGAGACAGAGAGCTTCTAGGTTCCGTAGAACAGGTGACTCATTTCCTGGAATGCATCATTGTAACATAGGAAACAATGTTTTTTCACCCTTTTTCTGCAGTGTCAGAGGACAGCAGAGGTTACTTTGGTAGAATTTCAGTAACATGACTATCATCTGCATGTGTCATGGTCTGATCTAAGGAACAAGCTTGGAAATAAAGTGGAGACCTCTGCAGTAGTTATATTTGGCCTCCAGGTAGTTTCCTCTGTCGATCAGGCTGAAGAAACACACAATGCTTTCTCTTTTCAAATTTACTAGGCTCAATTTCCTATGATGGAAAAGAACAGAGAAGCCATTTTGCTCCCTTTTTAAACAGCCTACAATTTGAGCTTTTTTGTATACTTGAAATGTATTTTCCTGTTGAAGAGATTTACTGACACATTTTCACTGTAGAAACTACAGTCATTGTAGCTGCTGCTGCCTCCTCAGAGAAGCCTTCCTCAGACTTCAATCTGCTTCTCAGTTGCTTAATGACTGGCAGTTCAGCCAGTCCCCACTTACATTCAGTTACCTGAGCGATGGTTTCGCTTAGAAGGGATTTCTAGTTCCTGGTGATTAGGTTCTGGCAGCGCTGGGCTGACTTAATGAGTAACTACAGTGTCTACGAAGCAATCCTTAACATTCCTGAGAGATTAGGAATGCTGCAGTCACTAAGAAGCTTATGCTTTGAAGTTTCTTTGATCTTGACAGAATTGGTAATTCAGATGTTCTCTAAATCTGAAAGGCTGACACCCATTGCCAGAATCTTACAATTCAGGTACTAAAGGAATATGCTTATGAGCTGCACCAGATGACTGGTGAACACTGGTATTATACATGGCATTAATGTCAACGATACCATCAAGAAAAATGTAGACAACAGAACAGCCCCTTCAAAATGAAGACCTTATTGACAGAGTTTTTATTTGCTTAGGGTGGCATGTGCTGCCTTGGAGTGATACAGTTGGTGCCTGGGACAAGAATATTCAAAGCATTTCTCAAACCTCAGCATAAACCATCTAGAAAGATAAGATACTCACTTCTTCCATCCGTCTCCTTTCTTGCTCTATTTCATATTCTTCCTTAGATTTCCTGTAACACAAGACATAAGTCGAGACTTTTTTGCTACCAATGATTTCTACGTAAATTCAGCATTGCTTAAATAGCTGGGGACTATCAAATCAATTGTTGGATATGTGAGCAAATGTCCAAAATACAAAGGCAGTGTCTCCTATTTATTTCCACAGAAATGACAGCAGATACAACGCAGCACAACAGCACAATTTGGTAAATTCTCAGCTACAAAACGTTATTTTTCAATGCAATCACCACTAAGCAAGCATTTTCAGCAGCAATGAAAAAGAGCTTGTGTTCAGTGCTCCTCGAAGTCTTCATGACTGTCCAGAACATGGCTTGCCTTCCACCCTGCTGTCACCACTGCTGATCATCAAGCAGCTCACTGTGCTAATATCTAGTGCCTGGTCTCCATACACATTCAGCCAGCATCTACAAATTTCAGTGGAAGCAATTTTTTTTTCCTGCATAAAGGAATCCAAGGATGCACCTTGGCTTCATATGTGCTTCTGTATCAAATGCCATCTTGCCAGAGTGCCCCTCTGCTGCCATCTGTCACTCAGCAACAAAATATAACTGGATATTGCTGGGAAGGTTCAACCTCTACTGCTGTACTACCACCATCTGCCTGTGAAGTTGTAGGCCAGCATCATAACACAGCAGGCATTTCTTCCAGAGCACCCTACATATTTCATGACTTAAATGAAAATGCATTCTTGAAAGAGAAAATCATGATAGACACGCAGAACTCAGTCCTCTGTCATTCCCTGAGCTAAAATAATTGTATATGAATTTCCAGGGCTTATCTATCTATCCACTGACTGATTTGCTAAAGGTAGAAACACAGAGGGTAAATGTAATAATATAACCCAAATGGATTAATATGTTATTATTTGTTTATGATTCTTTCTATATGGGTGAACTGGGAGTGGAGGAGAATCTATGGAAGTTGTATCAGTCACATGCATCTTAGATGACAGCAGGACACGCTGAACACAACTAAGGAGGAGGCTGTGGAAATGAGTAAGGACTACTGCAGAAGCAGAATTTGCCTTTCCAAGGCTTTGAAGGACACAGAACAAAGTATGGTATCCTCGTTAAGGAGTAACAAAGCTGCTTTAAGCAGTGTTGATCGTATATCTCCACTCCTGGGTTAAGAGTGCTCACAGAACAGCTTACAGATTCCTTTGTCCAAAGTCACTGGACACAGCTCTGTCTTGAGATTCAGAGGACAATGGAACCCGTGGGGCTTTTAAAGCTGCACATCATTTCATGAATCACCAAGATGGTTCCACCATGGCAGAGTGGTAATTCTTATGTCTTTAGATAGCCTTGATCACATCCACTGTCTAGCACAATTCATTTTTCTCGTGCCATCTGAAAGCAGTTTCCCAGAAAAGGCTAGAAGCTCTATATCCTTCATTATAAAGGCTATATAGGTCCTATATCCTTTCATTTTAAAGGAAGGTGGAAAGTAGGACTGATTTCTTATTTTACCTTAGAACCTCCCTGAGTATTTTCATTTCTTCTTGTTCAATTTCACTGAATACATCGGAACCCTCTGTCAAACAGTCAGGCAACACACCTACCAAAAAATAAAAGTATGCAAAAAGCATGCTTTACTCTAAAGAAAGTTATTTCGAACTCCACTGGCATCAGTGTTCAAAGATGAGAAATAAATCTTGTTGAGATAAAGGAGAGAAAGAAAAAATATACCTAATCCTTCCTTACTGTAAATTGTTTACAAAATGATTCTAGATCCTTGTTGCAAGTAGCAAAAAGGCAAAAGTCTCTGACATAAAAAAGGCTTTGCTATCTGAGGGCAGAACATACAGCACAGTCTGCACTGATGGTTATATGCTATTTCCTGCAGACTACAAACCAACCATGGTTAATTAAACCATTTTCTAATCTAGGTGTTGCGTTAAACTTAAGAAGTATTCTCTGGAAAAAAACACGCACCCAGTGAGACAAAACAAAGGAATAACACAGGAGACATGGATGAAAAGAGGGAGAAGATAAAAAAAACTTCTAGGAACATCAGCAGAGCAGTAGAGTTGGGTGTAAAGCTCTTCTTTAACAGCACTTATCTATTACAATGATGAAGGGCAAACTTCTGCTCTGTCCATAGATTTTTTCATGTGCAAATGCAGTGTGAACTGTAGGGCAGGCATGACAGACTGCACCGAGCTCTGCAACAGAGCACTATCACTACTGATGAACTGATGCAATTAACACTCAGCAAAATTCTCTAGCAAAAAAACAGATCAAGTTTCACCCAAAATCTTATAGAATTCACCATCTGTTACTTGAAAAGGAAAATAAACTGCTATGTCTGAGAATATAATCCAAGAACTAAAATCCTGGTCTCAGTAAAACTAGCTCAGTGTTTTCCCTTAACTTCAACTCCAGCACTCTGTTTTCATTTATAACTGGATTACACAGTCTTAAAAAAAAAGTAAATTTTTTGTTTTCTTTTCTACTTCTTACCATTTCTTTCTTTCATGACTCTTATGGCTTGCAATTGCATTTCCATATTTTTCTGTACCATCATTTTTTTAAATAGTCTAAAATCTTCTGCTGCCAGCACTGTCTGCAAAATGGCCTGTGGGAGGAAGGTATATGCAAACTAATTAAAATACAGAAATCAAAACCTTTTCAGTTTGCTTGAAATTATATTAAAATTTACATTCTGTGGAGCTTGTTGTTAATAACTCTATTTCATCCTTTTATCTGTCTGCTTTTTCTAGCTATATAAGTTGAGCTGGTGGGCAAGAAAAGAATTTGATGGTTTATTGCCCTTGGATCATCATGGCTACATATTATCATAAAGCCTGGATGGTTTCCCAGTGTAAGTTTACAATCACAATTTGTTGGATTTGAGAAAGGAATGTGCGCCCTGACAAACCTTGCTGGAGGAGACATTTCAACAAAGCACTTTACTGGCAGGAGGAGCTCCCACTTCTCTGCCCCACATACCTGAGACAATTCCTAAAGATAACTTCCAGCAGATGAAGCAGTACAGAATCAAGCCTTGTCTCCCCAGGGCAATCTCTGTCTTACAGATTTTACTGTTTTATTACAAAATTGGGGGAAAACACCTTTTGCTTTTGTGTCTGTTCTTCTTAATTTTCAAGTTTTTCTGCTACTACAAATGGACTGAATGCCACCATAAAGCTGACAAATCTGCACATAAAGGTAGGTGGCAGACATGCCTTTAAGCTTAGAGGTTTGGTTTAGAAAGTATAAAGCATGGAAGAGAAATCTCAAAAGAGTGACAGCACACAAATGCCCGCTGCTGTTTTAAAGATGCACGTTTTGCTGCTCAAAGTTCACAATATAAACAGGCACATTAGGTTTTAGAACGTTAAAGTTTTAAAAAGAAAGCTTTTCCAACATGTATGTTTGCATGTTCAAACGTGCATCTGTGGAAAGACAAAGCTAAAACATTAAATCTATGCATTCCTTAGCAAAGGAAAATATACCTGCGAAGTGTGAGTCTTTGCAAGAGGAGATGAAAAAGCTTCCTGAAATTTCTCTTCAGTAATGCCAACTTCTGTAAGATAGCCTTCTAATAATTTTTCGACCTGTAAGAAATACAAGCCTTACTTTCTAGGAGATTTTCCCCTAAGAATCATGGTGTTTTTTGCCCATAGCTCTATCTTCTTTCTTGCTGCTGTTGTGTTTTTTTAAAACTCCCAGAGAAATCCCTGCAATAACATCACTGCTTTCTCTGATGCTTCTGGCTCATTTGCTTTTATAAGCCGTTCTAAATCAGTGCCGATTTTTTTTGCTGAAACTGGTCACTGCTTAACTGCACCTCTCCAGCCTCCAGGGACCTCACCTCTCTACCTTCTCTCCAGACTCCCAGCTGATATTCCTCACCATTTGTACTTATTAAGTAAAAGGATTTTTTGGCCAGTCTGTGCATCCAAGGATCCATCTTCAGGATCACAGCAGAAATCACTGCTGGCCTATACTCACTCCACTCGTGGTTCTTGACATCAAGAACTACCAAGCCTTGTTATAAGGAAACGTTTTAGAAAACTGTGTGCATTGATTGTAAGTATTTTCAGCACACTCCAAAAACATTCTGTATTTTATTCTGATACTTGAAATAATTCAGTAGGTTTATCGATCTCATAAGGAAACAAGTTTAATGACAATCAGCACAATGTTAGAAACTTTCCACAACATGTGAAGGCTCTCCAGCCCATAACACATTCTAGCTAGCCACAGCACTCACATTAAGGACAAATAGGTAAGTCTGCGTAAGAAAAAATAACATTTCTGTATATCTGTGCTTATGCCTGAAAATGCACAGATGAGCATGACTCAAAGAATACCTAAATAACACTCATGGCATGCAGCATTAGTAAATTCCGAATAACAAATACAGCACAACTAGAAGTTTATCCACATACTACTTCAACAGTGCACATTATTTCTTAGAATTCCACCCCAGCAGTGAATAACACTCACCAGTGCTTGGTATTCCTGATAAATTTCTGTGTAAGACAACTTGCTTTCCTCTTCATCATCAAAAACTGGAAAACACACATCTCTGAGTCAGTGTTTCACGTACCTGTACTTCCAATGCCAGTGCCACAAATTAATTTTCCATTTAGAGTAAGGCCAACCTTTACAAGTTAATACTTTTCATCATGTGACAAGACATGATCAGTAATAACAACCTATTTTTTCACACATTCAGGCTATCCACGTACTTGTGGCAATTTATCGTAACACTGCTAATTTAATACTAGAAAAATACATTTTCACAACAGAAGAGATTCCTAAGCAAGCCGAGGATTTGGCAGATAGATGCATTAAGAAGTAAGATTTAATGTAAGAACTACCATGTGAACTTGCATGAGGTTGTTCTAATACGGAAGATGACACTGAACCAGGTCATTTGTCTCTGCATACATTTAAATGAAGGCTGTGCTAATGACTTGAATTTTTATTTTAAATGATGTTCACTAGCAAGAAGCCAGTGTGATGCAGGAAAGAGAGATCGTGCTTGCAAAACAATTGAGAGAGAGTCCCAAAGAGAAGATCTGGTGCTGGTCATTTACTGTTACTTGCTAACATTTTATCTACCATGGTCCAGACAAAACGGGAATCCATGCAGCAGGTGCCATTATTATCAATGCAGACTCACATTAACAACCCTTGACTGGAAATACCAAGCTAATGATTTCTGTAGCACAGAATAGAAGCAGCAGAAAGCAAGAGAAATGGAAGACTGGGGGTTTTACACTTACATTTACAATTTGCATTTTTATCATGTCAGCAACGAACAGAAGCCATGTAAAACCCAGCAATTAAAGCAGAGGCTTATTAGTAAGACATCGTCAGTTCCCCTCAAGATTAGCCACTCCACCTTGGACGAGTCACTGCCCATTTGCATGCTTTGAAGTCATCTGAAGAACAGGAATTCTGCTCACAAACTGGTGAGCGGGTGAGATTTTTTTTTCATGTGCCATCCGCAGTGGTGACGGCATTTGTGTGACAGAACTAGCGCAACTCTCCCAGCAAAGAAACTCTTGGAAAGATCATTTTCCAGCTGCAACAACACTGAGGCAATCAGTCAGAACCCAGACTGTAAGATGGTCGTTCCTAACAGCTAGCATCAATTCGTTACAACCTGCAGCAAATATAAACATCTAATCAAACAGTTCTGGCCCTCTAAATAACACAAGGAAGCTTGCTTTTCAATAGATAGAATTTGGAAAGCCAGCAATTGCTTTTGTTTCATTTCTCCACCTAGGAAAATGTTTTTTTCCATATCATTTCATTACAAAAAAAAAAAAAAAAGTTTTAGAAGTATACAGCAATACATACAAACGGTAGAAAATGCTTGTTTCACAAAAATAGTACTATAAATCCTACTCTTAAAACAAAACAGCTTCTATGTTAACCACCACATTACAAACCCAAGATGGTGAAGATTCTTAACTAACTCTATTGTCTTCTGCATCTCCTTCCCCCTGGGGATCTCTGTGATAGCCTATGCAGGCCCTAACCTTTGTCTTTATGTCTCCCTGCTCTTCTACCCCCTCCTGCTCCTTACCCCTCTGAATACCCCGGGAGGGCTGGCAAAAGGACCAAAGGGACTCCAGGTCCTCCTCCTTGCACAGTTCCAGGACAACATGGAAAGCAGAATGGAAAGCTTCCACAAACTGCTGCTTTCAGTCTGAACAAAAAGGATGAAGTGAAACGTCAAATAAACCAAGTGAGGTCAACATCCTCCTGTGTTAAACTGCATTAAGGAACACTGTGTCTGAATGGGGATCCTGGATTTTCTCAAGTTATGTCTTCTAAATCATGTTGTGATCTTTTTCCTCTAGGTTTTGGCTCTGAGTCTTTGGTCACCGAACAGGAAAGACCTGAAGAACCCAATACACCAGGACAAGATGGGAGACCCAGATGTCCTTGGGAGACAAACTCAGCATTTTCCTGCTAAAATTGAAAACCACTGCTAGCAAATTCCTCAAACACGATGACAGCTACGTGAAGTTTGAGTCCTCCCTGCTGGGACTGAGCTGACTCATCTGCAGTCACAGACCCAGTAAGTACAGGAGCTCTTCTGTTCCTACCCCCAGTCCCACCCCCAATCGGGAGTCACAGTCACCTGCTGCTGCTTTTTGTACCCTGTCTTTACCCTCCAGTCTTCAACATCATTGTCAAGCTCATCTATTCACAAAGCAATATTTCATTTTATACCTTAGAATATCTGAGTAAAACAGGAAAGTCCCCACCCTTTAAGGCATGCCCACAGGCTGAGCTTGAGTTGAGTTCTGAAGCCACAGAAATGGAAATTAATGAAGCCATGAGAAATTAGTCAAGTCCCCAGAAAGAGGGAAAGAGAAAACAAGCAATTAGCAACAGATATAACAACACTAGGATCACTCCTACTAAATGCAATGTTAAATAAACATGCAAAATTTAGTAATATGCAACTAAATATGCAAAATAATTGCACACCCATTACTAAAGCTTGAACTCTAGTTTTGACTAATCAGAAATTGACACTTTATTGAAATGATGCCTTTTTTTTTTTCCTTCAGTCCAAAGGCTTTGGACATTTTGAGAACAAAAAGAATTCTGCCCCAACAAAACACTTCAGTAACAGTGGTAGAATTAGCACATTTATTGAAAGGAAAAGCAAACAAGCGCTGAACTGCAATTAGAAGTTTGCATTTCTTCAACTGTGCTTCTTAGCAACCCTAACACTGCAGCAACACTTCCTCAGCCTTTTCTTTTTTCTCAATAGCTGCTGGGAGTTGTCCAAAGAAACCCTGGAAGACCACTTGCTCCCATTTCTCTACTTTGCTCCTCTAATTTCTTACACAGCAACAAACTGGCAGGGGGCCATTATATAAGCCCGCTTCATGGAAATTTACAGAGGTTCCATAAATCTTCTTACTGCCAGTAAATTCCACTCAACCTTCTAAGGAGAGATCACTGCTACAGAGAGGGATAACGCACACCCTGATTCCTAAAACAAGAGAGGCAGCTCCTACCTATCCCACTTCCATGGCAATCAAAACACCTGAATGGCAAGAAGTCTGAGCAGACACTGAGGCAAAAGCTCTAGCCACGCTTTCTCTGTTGCTTCCATGTGACAGACTGGTAACTTTACCCGACCTTCTCATTTACCAGCGTATCAGGGAAAGGTGTGAGCGCCCACAGTGATCTTCAGAGGTCATGAAGGGTGGAAACAATTTACAGATTCATAGCAGCCCTCGACACGAGCTGCTGCACAGCACAAGGTGACAGCGCCGGGAAGCCTTTGTGTCATAATATCAGTGTTTCAGTGTTAAAATGCATCGATGATGGCTTAAAGGATTCTCCTCAATCAAAGCATTCCTTTTATCGCACGCTGAGTAACTCAGGATAGGTGACTGTAACCGGGTTTTTATTTTATAACATACCTTCACCATCACTGGGGGTTTTCCACACTCATCTGACACCTGCTTGAGCAGGTATTTCACCCAGCCCTCCCCATCCCACCCAGGACGCTGAGGCTTTGGGGTGACAAAGAACGGCCCATTCACCCAAACCTCCAACAGCTTTCCCAACCTCTTAATATGTGTTAGTTTTCCTTCATATCGTTCTCCTGGTTAAAAACGCCCCGTTCTTAGATACAGCTGACTGGAGCGAGCCGCAGCTTAAGCACAGCAGCTCCTCGGGTGCGACCCGGAAGGACCACATTTTATTCCTCGTACCACAGAGCGATGCCTTCAGCCCCTCAGCGCTGGGGTCCCGTGCCGGCCTACCTCACCAACCCGCACTGAAGCGGGGTCGCCCGTCCCGCCCGCCCGCCAACCCGGCTCCTCCGCCAGGAAGGGCCTCAGCGCCCCGCCGCTCACCCTCGCATTTCTGCTCCATGAACTCCAACACGGGGACGGACCAGGCGGGCCCGCGGAGGAACCCGGCGATGCTGTCTACCACCCACTCCACGTCGGCCTCCTCCTCCTCCGCCGCCATGGCCGGGCCACCCAGAGCGGCGCCGGGTTTGGGGATGGGGGTCGGGCGGGTGGTGCGCGCACGCCTCACCACGGCAACTGGCGTCACGGCACCACCGCGCGCTCGCGCGGAGGGGAGCGGGGCTGGGCGCGTGGGGAGGGTGGAGGGCAGAGGGCTGCCCTAAGGACCTACAGCCGTAATCAGATCATGGCTTTAGGGGAGGGGCGGTCAGCAGCCGCAAATGCGGCGGCATTAAAAGATAGAGTGGAAACGAGGCCTGCAGTGAGGTCGCCGCCAAGCGGCGCCGCGATCGCTGAAGAGACTGCGCGTGCAGCGGGGCTGAGGGGAGGGACGGCAGGGCGGGAAGGCGGGCGCGCTCCCCAGCCGCCTCAGCCCCCCGCCGCCTCAGCCCCCAGCTCTGAGCCCGCTTTTTTTTCTTTAAGCGACATTAATTTAATTTCAGCCACTGTCCTCCCCCGCAGCGCGGCTGAAAGGCTGGAGTGCCCTCCTTAGGGTTTAAATGTGTTCCCCTCCCGATGCTTTGCTGCTTCTGCGTAACTGATAAGTTGGGATGTTTTCTTACACGCGAGAGATTTGTTTTTAAAACCCAAACGCCTATTTTAAGTGTATTTATCTGTCGCTTTTGCTTTTTGCTCAAGTACTGTCACCATCCTGGTTGCCTCAGGCGCTATTCTTGTTCTTAATTAAGAATATCTCTTGTAGACATTGATGAGATTTTACCCGCACGTAGATACAGTGCTGCGTGCCAATTAATTTATTATCATCTCAGAGAGAGAACAATTCTATGCTGTCCTCACTACCTGATGTGGTGCACAAAGCTCCTTTATGATAGCCCACCAGTGCTCCCATCTCTGCAGTCGGTTCTGTGGTCTGATGCCATGTGTAACATAAAGGTACAGCTTGCCTCCTGTAGGACACCCACTTCAGATTTGATGGTTGGCATGGTTTGATTACTAATTCAGACTTACATGGTTGTACAGTATGTTCACTTCTTGCACACGCAGCCCGCTGTATAGGAGTAGCATCGTTTTAAGTTTGCTCAGTAGCTGCCAGCAGTCACCTGTGTTAGACCAACTTATGTTAGCTCTATTTACACCGGTAGAGAGCATTGTCATTTTTCTACAGTCTTTTGTGCGTTTTGCTAAAGCCCTTTCCGCGTCTTGCAGTGCTGAGCAACTAATGTCTCTAGAAATTAAGTTGCTTTATGAGGAGTGTGTTGCACCTTCACTGCAATGATTTCTTCCCTTAGCATCCCCACCAAGGTCGTGATGAAGGTGGCCCTTCCAGTGTCAGGTAACGGACAATGTGACACCACATCCCCAGCTCAGCTCTTGAAAGCCTTTCTCAGCACCCACATGGTGCTGACAAGTCCTTGCTTGATGCTTGATGACGATGTTTGCAAGGCAGAGGCAGTGAACATCCAACATGAAACAAAACTGGCAAAATTGAATAGTGTGGGGCTCAGACCATAATAGCCTGGAATTTTATGTATTTCTCTTCCTTCAAATGATGTAGATAAGAACCCATAACATAAATGTACACTTGGAAACTCAACATTATCTAGCACTCAGATGTGACTTTGCAAAAAGTGCAGCGTATATTTCAAGACACTTAGTGAATTGCCCATCATATCAGAGAGCTCACAAAGTCTATCTCATTTATCAGAATTAACTCGAAATCTTGCGAGTCTCATAATTTCTCAAAAAGCTACTGATACTGACATGAATTGTAATAGAGATGTCAGAAGGCACAAACAAATACACTGTGTGCATCCCAGAGCTGTGCACATATCAGTGCACGTGGGTGAATTTTATGACGTGCCAAAAACATGTGTTTTCTTGCTTCTGTTAACAGTATGCTTGCCTCTACTTGTATCAGCTGAAATGTTTCCAATACACAGTTCTGACAGTGGGAAAAAAATGCTTATACTTTCAGCACAGGTAGTCTTATTTTTCACTTTTAATTTGTTGCATAACATTTAAAGCACTTCTGGAAATTGCTGTGTAATGAGGATGAGGGAATTCTGACCGCTGTAATCAAAACCATTCTCGCACTTCACGTGAAGCTGCCAAATGTGACGTTCTGCTTTCAGATCTCAGAGGAGCACTCTATTTTGGGGTTTTTTTGTTGGTGATAGCATGAAAGGTAGAGGAGGAAATGCTGTCCTGTCTGCTTCACAAAACAGCAGTTACTGCTTAATTATCTGTCCCCTCTGCACGCATTGCTTTGGAAGACATTTCGACATACTCTCGGGTCATTGCGTTATATATACACTGGTGAACAAATGTGACAAGCCTTTCCAGTCTCTGCATTCCACTGAATTCTTTATGTCACCCAATTCTTTTCACCTTCAATAGGTTCCACTCCTATGCACAATGCAGTGAATCACAGAATGCCCAAAACATCTTTTCTTCAGTCTCTTTAGTGGAAGAATTCTTGCGTGTTTTTATTTATTTTTCTCATGCATATTGGTGAAGAATATGCAAATTCTATTACTTTATTAATGGCTCCTTGAAGTTATTTCTTACCCTGTAAGCTTATCAACAATTGTTTTGTGTCTTTGGAACAGAAATAGTAAATAGTTAAAGTCAGAATATAGTCCAAATCTGAACATAGTCTGTCTACCCATGGAAATGTTATTAGATGGCATCTTGTGGGTATAACTGAAGCCTGCATTCAGTGGCTCAGCTAACTCCTCTCTTGCATTAAAAAATAAAAATAAAAAAATGCAGTAGCACTACTTGTACCTAATAAATATTTTCCTCTGGAAAAAAAAATGGCCTTGAATAAAGCCTGTAAGTCCAAGAGAAAATCAGTTCGGTTAGCAGTTTTGATTGAATCTTGACATATCTGCTGCTGTCTGTCTCTTTGCATTACATTTAATACATTTAAAATACAGAAAATACTATGATGTTCTCCTGTGTTACTTTTTAAATTTCTACATGGAAACTCAAGCTCAAACTGCAACTTCTTGAGGCTTCTATGTTTGTGCGGTTCAAAATATTTAAGCTGTTGTTTTTACTCCAGAGAAGATGGAGCAGAGCTTGTGGTGACAGTGAGGCAGCTCTGAAGCATTAGTTTGTAATGCTGTATGACTGTTAGCTTGCTCACTCAGATGCCATGCTTGCATGTTCTTTACCTTCTATGTGACTTCTCCAGAGAGAAGCAGCCTGAAGTCAGTAGCCAGAGGATTTAAGAGTAGCGCATTTCTATTGTCTGAGAACTCAATCAAGACCTGCTTCTTGACCAACCAGCTGCAAAATACTTACAGTGCATAGAGAAGAGGCATGGCAGTCTGTCTTAAGACAGCAAGACTGTTTCCAAGAGTCCATTCTTGTATAAAATAATGAAAAGGCTATCTACCAAGCACTGTATACTCACGTGTATTTTGGTTCACTGGGCAAACATTATAGTCAGAGCTAAAGTTCCTTTAGCTTTTTTCTATGAGTCATAGACTCATAGAATCCCCAAGGTTGGAAGAGACCTTTGAGGTCATCCAGTCCAACTGTCCACCTGTCACCAGCAGCTCTCATTGTCCCTCAGCACAACATCTAAACATTCCTTGAACACCTCCAGGGTCGACGACTCCGCCACCTCCCTGAGCAGCCCATTCCAGCGCCTGACCGCTCTTTCAGGGAAGCAGTATTTCCCGACATCCAACTTGAATCTCCCCTGGCACAACTTGAGGCTACATATATAGGTCTCATGTTCCTGGCACGTATTTTTTCACTCTCAGGTTGTTGTGTGGTTTTGTTTGTTTATTTGTTTTCTACCCAGGAACATAGGCAAAAAATAGTAAAAATGTCTGGTTTTCTATTCTTTATTCTTTCGTATTTTGCACCAGGAAGAAAGAGTATGTTCTAGCAGATGTGGGGGGTTTTGTGTGCATCATTTAACATGCACTTAGGAAAGTGCTTTGTCCCTACATTAAGTGTTTAATTAAGCTGTTTGCCAATATCAGTATGTTTGTACAATAGATGCCTTTGGCACCCAATTTAACACATAAGCATTCTCATCTTCTTTCCAGTAATATTCTTCAGTCTGATAGGTAGCGTTAAATTTGGCTTTTGAATAGAAGGTGAAAAGATAAAACTCTAATTGGAGCTTTTTTATTTGCAATTACTTATTGACATGTGAATGATAGAACAAAACAAGCCGTTTCTCTCATGACCTCTCCCTTCTCCATTTCTTCTTCCTTCCCAGAAAATCTATACTGTAAGACAAAAGGGCAAAATACCTGGCTTGGGAAATTGTGCAAGTGACAAAACCTGGCACACGCATACATGCACAAACTTCTGACATGGACCAGTGCTGGAAAAGGAAGACCTAAGAAATATAACTCTTTAAAAAGGTCGCTATATTGCTATAGACTCATGTTTTAAAATTGCTCAGAAGAATTCGAGGACCTTCAAGGTGACAGACTAAAGTTCGGTCCTCACTTCAGCTGATACTTGTTTATACAAGGTAAGCAAGTCAGGGAAGCCAATTGGAAGGACCCAACCAAACACAGTCAACAGTCCCACAGTTCTGAGACATGGCTGTTCAAACCCCCTGCACTAAATTAGGAAAGCTGTTTTCCTGCAGCTCTGGACTATGTTGTTACCAATAAGATAGTATCTTTCACCTATCTTAATAAAAATCCCCATCCCAAACCAGAATCCACTTTGCTGAAGGTGTGGGGTTCAAATGAATTATCTTCTATCTGTTTCAATGAAAGATTAAGAAATGGTTCTCTAAACTGTCAAAGACTTCTTCCGATGGAAGCAGGCAGTGATGAGAGTGCAGGGAGAAAGGTGTGGAAGCTGGCACATGTGCAATTACAACCAGGAGCCAAGAATGGAACCGAAGAGTGAATCATTGACCCTGCAGTTGTGACACAGGGCTGTTATATAAATCAGACAAAATTCCCAGCTGTTCTTTCATTGCTTTATACTGTTGCCATATTCCAGTCTAAATATTTCACTATGTGTGAAATCTTGGCCAAGTCTAAATCTAAATTCCAGAAAAACACTGTGTTGAAGCTCATTGTGGTA